CACCTGAGGACCAGGCAGTGTGATGGGAGGCAGGGGCCATCAGGAGAGGCCGCCCTGGCTGCTGCGAGCCCAGCCACCAACAGCAGCCTCTGGGCTGTGCGGAGCAGCAGAGAGCCAGCGGGTTGTTATGACAACGGGAACTTGTCTGATGCACCAGTAGCTCCGGGAGAGGCTCGGAGGACTGGCTGGCCAGGCCCCGGACACTCTTCATGCAGCCTGGTGCTGAGAAGGTACATATTACCCAGGAGTGGATGGTCAGGGCTGGTGGCCCGGAGGTCACACGAGATACAGGCATCGAGCTGCATACCTCCTACCTGTCCTCTGACCTGAATTCCCACCACATCCCCAGGCTGGCGCTGTCCTGTCCCCACTTGACAGATGAGCAGGGCATGTGACTTGCCATCTTCTGCCAGTGGTGTTTTGGAGCAGAGATTTGCTTTTGGTCTGCGTTTTCTGAGACCCGTCGACACTGGTGACGGGGGGAGAGTGGGACGGCCACTGGGGGTTTCTGTCCAGGTTGAGAGGGGTGGTTAAGGGGAGGGGCAGGACACTGTAGCCTTCCAAAGGCCTGAGGTCCCTCTGCACGCTCAGCCTAGAGCAGACCCGGCCGGGGCTGGAGGCGCATAGGAGCTGACAGGCTGACGGACTATGCCAGCCACTCAGTTTTCAAGCCATCCATTCATGCATGCACGCACTCAGGAAGCACTTACTGAGCACCTACTGTGTGCTCAGTGCAGCAGTCGCTCCATTCGGTTGAGGGTCTCGCTCTCTTTCGCGTCACTGGGCTCAAGTGTGTCAGGAATGATGAGGACGGCGCAGGAGAGGACAGGGTTCAGATCTGTTCGCAGGGTCGCTGTGAGTCGTCCTCAGCTTAATGACCCTCAACAACGGCTGTGTGCCGGGTCCCACATGGGAAACTGGGCCGCTCCTGGAGCTGAAGTTCTAGTGCAGAAGACAGGAAGCAACAAGTGATCGTACACAGTGCAGTCCGGGTACGGACTGTGCTCTCGAGAAGGGCAGAGCTGGGGCTTAGAAGAGGCTGTTGCCGGGATGTCCAATCCAGTGTGGCAGGACAGCAGGATTGGAGGGGGCTGTTGAAGGTCACATAAGGGTTGGAGAAGGAGGAGGAGGAGGAAGAGGAGAAGTGGGAGGGGATGTGAGTGTTCCTGGCAGAGGGGACAGCAAATGCAAAGGCCCTGAGGGAGGCAGAGCTCTGCAGTCCAGGCTCTTGATGAACACCCCTCGTGGGATGGGGGTTAGGGGGTTGGCTAGTGGCCTTTCAGGATGTATGCAGGTGTGCCGTGGTCTGGCCTGTGCATTTAAACGATCACGCTGGCCGTATGTGTAGGCCAGATGATTGCCCAGCAGAAGGCTGGGGGCTCCAGGGAGAGACCGATTTCAGGTGTCCAGGTGAGATAAGGTGGCATCTGGGACCAGTAAGGTGGGGACAGAAGGAGGTGGCCAGGTTAGACAGAGGCTGACTCACCGAGGCCTGGTGGCTGGGATGGGGAGAGGAAACAAGGGTGAACAGGGGTCCAGGAGCTCTGGGGCACCCTTGAACCTTGAACCAGAGGTGCCCTTGGTTCAGTCTGAGTTGAACAGGAAAAGCAGAAGTCCTAGAGCGTTTAATGTGAGGCCTATGGGCGTGCCAGGTGGACAGATTTCATCAGCACAGCCAGGTGCAGGCGCGGCCTGGACGATGCTTCAAGGAACATGAGAAGTTGGGGCTGGACAGGGCAACAGTGCTGTGACCTCTAGGTGACAGGCCAAGGGCCTGGGCTGCCCCCACCAACCAGCTTTCGTCCAGCTGCGTGCCTGCCCCGCATTCCAGGACAGAGCCCAGCATGGCTCCTGGCTCCTTTGCTCTGAGGAGAGAGGGTCTGAAAAGAGAGGAGTAGGTTCTGCCCTTCTGGGAGCTCCTCTCCCCAACTCCCCGATCCCCATCTCACAATATATTAGCCTCTCGGCAGCAGCACCTGCTGGCCCCACCTCGTCCCCTGGGTGCCGCGAGAAGCTACACACAGTGACCAGGAGCAGAACCTAGAAACAACTATGGTCTAAACACACAGCTAAGGAGCCCCGGTGGCACAGTGGATCAGTAACTGGGTTAGTAACTTGAAAGTCAGTGGTTTGAACTATGGGAAGCCAAACTCCATACCAAATATATGATAACCCTTGTTCAGGAATTGAAGGAATTACAAATGTATAAGTTAGGATTTCTCTTGTGACAGATCACAGAAAATGAGCTGTTTGTTTCCTCCTGACCGGAGACAGCTAGGGCCCCCTACAGAGGGAGTGTTACTTCCTGAGCTAGAGGGCTGGTCCGAGTGCAGAAGAGGCCACACTTTGACGAGGATGAAGCTGCAGAATGGCAGATAATACCAGCTATTGGGAATATATGTCTAATACTTCCTTGTCAAAAGTTGTTCACTGGCTTTATAAAGCTTTGGGTAATAATATATCGTTCATTGGCTTTATAAAGCTTTGGGTAATAATGTATCTCTCCAGTAGATGTTTCAAGGATATAGTTTTCGTGGAGATACCAGTAACAACTTTGGGTTATCCTAATATTCCTCCCTTTCAGTTGCTTTCTTTATCTTTCTTAGAGTATGGATACATTGGAGATATTGTTGAATAGAACCAAGATGAATTTTAACTAATACTTGCTATGGAAGCGTCATTGATTGGAGCCTTGTTGGTTCCACTCGTCAGAACAGAAACATGAAAAAGTTCAGTTAGTGTAAGGAAGACAATGGATTTATAACTGCTCATGCTAATAACACTATATCATGGCATGGAGGAGGAATAGTGGAACTGTATCCACATTTACAGTATTCTTCTTACCAAAATCATTTATGAAAAATTAGAACTGCTGGCCCCCTGTTTTATGCTCTCTGTTCTATCTCATTCCTGTCTGTCTTATTATTAATAATTATACAAATACTTTACCCTCAGTCTGCAACATTGAACCCACCTACAGACCTACCTGAAGAGAGTGAAACCAGGTTGCTCCTTGGAGACAAGGATTTTGAAACTCCATTTCACATACTTTGATTATGTTGTCAGGAGAACGACATCATGCTTGGAAGAGTGAAGGGTCAGAGCAGGAGAGGAAGGCCCTGGATAAGACAGAGTGACACAGTGACGGTGAAAATGGGTCGAGAGTGTGGATGGTGAAGTTAGCCTGGGTTAGGGCAGGGTTCGAGCTGTCCTTCACAGGGTCACTATGACTGCTGTTGGCTCCACAGCAACTAACAACAGTGTCCGATTCTGCAAAGATCCGCAGCCTTTGATACTCTGAGGAGCTCTGCTCCGTCCTTCAAGGCGGCTGTGAGTTCAAAGAGACCCAGTGGTAGCGGGATTTGTTTTTGTGTTATTTTGGTAAACAGATCAGAATGTTCTTTTGTGCTCAAACTGAAGTTCAGAAGAAGATGATCCAGGGATAAGATGACAAAGAGGCTCTCAAGTTCCTTTTAGGTTTTCCACTTTTCTATCCTTTACATGGGAACTCTAGTGGCCTGTAGGGTAAGGGCTTGTGCCGGTCAGCGAAATGCAGGTGGTCCAGGTCTCCTGGCTGCTCTGTGAGAGAAAAAAGGCCAGATTCTCCTCTACAGTTCGTAGCCTCTGAAAACCTGCTGGAGGGGCAGCTAAGAGTTGGATCTGACTTGACAGCAATGAGGTGTGTTTTTTTTTTATCCTTTACATACGGATTTCACAACCAGGTCTCCTCATGGCACAAGGAGGCTGCCACAGCTCCAACCATAGTTTCCATCTGGGAAACCAAAAGAGCATGAGTGAGTTTTTTGACCCTTCATAAGATGTTGTTGTTGTTGTTATGTGCCGTCGAGTCGCTTGTGACTCATAGCGACCCTATAGCGACCCTATGTACAACAGCCCTAAACTCCACTCTGTCCTGTGCCAATAGCACTGTCTCTGACACTCCCATCCCAATTATCCCAGTCACTGAATCAATCCACCTCATAGAGGGCCTTCCTCTCCTGCGCTGTCCCTCCACCCTCCCAAGCATGATGTCTTTCTCTAAGGGCCTGTCTCTCCTCACAACATGTCCAAAGTATGTTAGACGGAGCCTCAGAATCCTTGCCTCCAAGGAGCCACCTGGTTTAACCCTTTCCAGGACAAATCTATTTGTTTTCCTAGCAGTCCATGGTATTCTCAATACTCTTCTCCAGCACCACAGCTCAAAGGCATCAATTCTCCTTCTATCCTCCTTGGTCATCATCCAACTCTCTGATGCATAACAAGTGATTGCGAAGACCATGGCCTGTATCAGACGCACCTTAGTCTCCAGAGAGACACCATTGCTCTTCAGTACTTTGGAGAGGTCCCTAACAGCAGACTTTCCCATGGCAATGCTCTCTCAAAAATCACAGCCTTTGCCCCTGACCATGAAAGAGTGAAAAATGTGGTCTTTTACCTGGATATCTCCTTACAGAATAAAATCAGGGTTCTCTATGAAGCTGGTTGGCTGTCTTTGTCACCCCCTGTGGCTTTATTAGCCAGGTACAGTTCTAGCTCCCCCTTTTCTGTACCCTGTGCAGACCCCACGCAGGCCATCATCTTTACCCTGACCCTGACCCCCCTAGAACCCTCGTCTGTGTGCTGGCTGCCCCTCTGTGTCCCTGCATCTGGCAGAGGACATGTCATGAGTGGAGCGGGAGGCCTCCCCAGGGCCTGCGTGGAGCAGCACTCGTCCATGCCGCTGCCCCGAGGCTGGAACAGCACCAGGACACCGTGACCTTCTGCTCCCAGCACTCTCTCCGCCCCAAGCTGGGCTTCCATGGAGCAAGGATTGATCTGGGGGCAGGGCAGTGGGATCGATGGGCAGACAGGCGCTTAGCTGGTCACCCTGGGCAGTGAGGGGCAGTGAGGGACAGGCTCGCTGGCTCTGTGAAGACCCAGGAATGGCAGCCCCGGTAGAAGGACAGGTGCAGGGTCAGTGAGACCTCTTGGAGGAGCTCAGCAGTGAGTTACCTGGGAGGATGCTGTTGGGGGCCGGCTGCCGGGCGCAGGGCCCTGATCCTGCCTGCCCCAGGACAGAGGACCTCGGCTCCCTCTCGGAGCTCAGGGCAGAAGGCCCCGGCAACAATGAGACCAGAGAGGACCTTCGAGGTCAGAAGCTGAGTCCCAGCCCAGCGCAGAGCACAGAGAGCATGGCCTCTCACCCCTACTGGTTAGCAGAGCCCGGCCTTGAGGAGGTACGGACGTCACCCAGCCTACCGTCCACCCCAGACACCCTGAGCATAGACAGCCGGCCTGCCACGGGCCCTCTTGCCTGCCTGGACCGCCGGAGGGAGGCCCGGCTGCCCTTCTCCAAGTTCCTGGATGAAGTCACAGTGCGGGTGCTGGACCCTGAGACCCTGGAGTCTTTCTGGGGGCCCAGAGGTCGCAGCCCAGATTCCTCTGTGGGTGAGTGGAGCCCAGGCTCAGCCCAGACCCCTCACACAGAAACTACAGCCCCAGAGAAGACCCTGAACCCGCATCCCTGGCCTCCAGGGACAGCGGCCGAGGCTACAGTAGAGCCAGGGCCAGGTGTAGAGAGCAGAGGGCCTCCAGTGGACAGCGATGAGCGTGGACACCAGGCCACCTCCCCCTGGAGGTCTCCAGGCCGGGTGAGTCTCAGCCTCAACTGCTACTCCCTCCCTCCCTCCTCCCTGTCTCCCAGGCCCTTCCTACAGGACCCCGCTGACCCCCTGGACCTTCCCCCATTCTACCCTTTATATAATATCTGCAATGGTTAGGGGGCCAAAGTCCTTAAATACCAGAGAATGAATCCCTAAGATGAAATTTTGACTTTGGAGCAGGCAGGCTTTCTGGACCGGTGCACGGCAACTACACAGAAACGACAACAATTCTAATAAACAGGCCCGTTGCCTGTGGGTCCGTTCAGGCCCTTGGCAGCCCCGTGCGACAGAGCGGACTGGCCCACAGGGCTTCCAGGGGATGGGTCTTTACCGACTGCCTCATCTTCCTTCCTCAGAGAGGCGCATGGATTCAAACCGCTGACCTTTCTGCCAGCATTCCGGTGCTTAACCACTGCACCACCAGGGTTCCTTGTCAATCCTGGTCCCCTCCTCATTGCAGTGTCCCAGTGTTCAGCAGGGCCTTTCTGACTGGAAGACCTTCAGCGGCTGTGCGCCATGTGAGGTCGGTGGTCACCGTCCTGCCAGGCAGATAGGCCAGCGTACTTGGTCACTCTCCCCATTTTACAGAGTCGGGAAACTGAGGCCGGGAGGAGCTGGCTGCAGCGTAGATGATCCTAGGAGTCAGGGTCTCACCCAGAGTCTTCACATCTAAATGTAGGTCTCTCTTCCGCTGCACTTGCACATGTGAACACACAACCGTGCCCCTGGGTGGGCAGAGACAGATGGACAGGGACAGGCAGACAGCCATTCATTCCGTGAGGCCGGATGAGCATTCAGTCCACCAGGGTGACGGAGGCAGGTGACATTGCACATCAGGGTGGCTGGATCTTGGCCAGGTCATGCCGCCCCCATCCCCCTGGTGCTGACCGTCTGTCCCCAGGCCACCCGTGTCCCGGGCCAGATGCCCACATCCCTGCACCCACCTTCTCCTAGCACTGAGGGTCCGGGGTTGGTGGGGCTGGGTGGGTGGGCAGTGGGGGCATGCGGATGGGGAGTCTGGTTAGCTGGAACTTCACCAGCCCTTCTTTCCTGTGGGTCACCTCTGGCCAGCTTGACCACAGTGGGCTCCGAGTGGGCTCTGCATGGTGGTCGTGATTTTTTTTTCTTTCTTGGGGAAACTGTCTCTGCAAATTGAGGGGCCCCTGGCCCCCTGTGGCTCTGGATGCTTCCCGCCTTCCTCTCTGGGACCCACAGGCTCAAGGGGCCCTCCTCCACCCCAGTCTCCAGACGATTCTATCCCCAGGCTCCTTGTTCATGTGTCCTGGGACCTTGTGGCGGCTCAGGACGGTGATGGCCAGTGGGCCCTGGGCAGCGGGTCTGCATCCTGCACAGGCCTCTGGGGACCCTGTGGAGCTGGTAGTGTCTCCAGAAAGGAGCAGGGGAAAGGACCCCTCCCCATGTCTTTATCCTCAGTCTGCAACATTGAACCCACCTACAGACAGGCCCTGAAGAGAGTGAAACCAGGTTGCGCCAAGGCAGGACCAGAGGTCCAAGCTGAGCACCTGGCTCCCTATTTCCCCCACAGGCTGGTCTCACTGGGACCACTTGGTCCCCACCCGATGTCACTGCAAAGCTATGTCTCAGGGGGACCACCCTCTGCTCCTCCCTCAGCACCCCATGTCACCCCAGAGCTGTGTCTCGGGGACCAACCTCTCCTCCTCCTTCAGTTTGCTACCAGCCCTGCTACAGACAGGGATCTTGGGCCAAGAGCTGAGCCTGCTGTGTCCTGGCTGCGTGGTGCCCCCATTCGGTGGCCCAACCCTCTCTAGACCTCCGTTTTCTCCTGTGTGGAATAGGACTGAGATAAGGAGGGTGCCCAGTACACAGTAGGAGTTCAGTGACGGGAAGAGGGATGTGACAGTGCTGGCCCATCTCCCTTACTGAGTACCGACTGTATGCCTCCTGCCACCCTGGCCTGGGGAAGCCTGTGTCCCCAAAACAGTCCGCAGAGTGAGGTGGAGCCTTGGTGCTGTGAACAAGAAGGCTCTGAAGAAGGCCTCTCCAGGATGGCCAAGTACAAATGCCCACAGACCCGGGCCAGGGCTTGCCCATCCTGGGGCTTGGAAGCCACCCTGGTGGGTCATGGCAAGACTCCCTATCCCAGGGTCAAGGTCTCGGTGTTGCAGGAAAATCCAGACACTCCCTGGACTGAGTGACCCGGACCATGGCCTGACCCTCCCTGGGCCTCATTGCCCCTCTGCCAGGATGCTCAGTTGGGGGCTGTGTTCTCCCGCTGGGGGACCCACGGGGCCTCTGGAGGGGCATCTGCCTCCCAGCTCCCTGACTTAGTAAGCCACGTGGGAATGTGGGCTGGGGCTGCTAGATCGTCCAAATTTTCAGAAGCAGCCAAAAATACGGATTTTAAAATGTAGACTTTCTCTCTTTTTTACTGTTGGCTCAAATGTTTATTTAAAAAATGCAAACCCTCGTGCTGGCCAGATAGCATGCAGGGGCCTGATTTAGCTGAGGGCCAGTTTGCAGCCGCCGCCTATGCCCGCTGGTGCCAGTGCACAGCAGGGGAGACTGGGGGTCTCTGCAGCCACCCCCACTGCACGCAGCCGAGATACAGAGCTGAACTGGGGCCAGCGAGGTGGGGCCTCTGCCTGGGGGTGGGGCAGGCCTGGGAATCCCAGAGGGAGGCGTGTGGTTGGCCTCAGCACCTGCCCCTCCCCCACTGAGCAAGGAGAGGTGGAATCCCCTTTGGGAACCCACCTGGAGGTGGTGCTGGAGAACGGGGTCCGTCCATCCTCAGCCCATGTCCTTCCTGCAGAACATTCTGTGTCTGGCCCAGACACCCCAGGGTACCCCCGCGTGTGCACACACATACACGGACACATCCATAATATATCACACACGCACACTCTTCACGCCCACACAGTCGTACCTCACTCACCTGTGTAGACACATCACAGCAAACCACACGCACTCACACATGACCCCCACATGTACACGTTCCACATGGATACACACACATGCAGGTGCATCACACAGATAACATGCATGTCAGGGACATCAATACACGGCACACGCATAACACACGTGAATACATAGCGCATACCTACACAGCACACATGTGACATGCTGCATGTATTCACTGCACACACATATTCATATTACACACACTTATCTGTACACACACACACACCCCATATACCTCACCACCATGTACACACATTACCTCACATACACATGCACACATATCACATATGTCCACCCCATACACACATACCTGTATACAATGTTTATATACCAGACACACATATCACAGACACACATTATTATGTCACATACACAAACTCACATACCACATAACACATAGTCACTCATGGCTCACACACACATAAGCACATACACAAGTTGTTGTTACATGCCGTCAAGTCGCTTGCGACTCATAGCAACCCTATGTACAACAGCCCTAAACTCTGCTCTGTCCTGTGCCAATCGCATTGCCTCTGACACACCCATTCCGATTACCCCAGTCACTGAATCAATCCACCTCATAGAGGGTCTTCCCCTCCTGCGCTGTCCTTCCACCCTCCCAAGTATGATGTCCTTCTCCAAGGACTGGTCCCTCTTTAAAACATGTCCAAAGTATGTTAGACAGAGCCTCCGAATCCTTGCCTCCAAGGAGCCTCCAGGATGAATCTGTTTGTTTTCCTAACAGTCCATGGTACACTCAATACTCTTCTCCAGCACCACAGCTCAAAGGCATCAATTCTCCTTCTATCCTCCCTAGTCACTGTCCAACTCTCTGATGCATAAAAAGTGATTGCAAAGACCATGGCCTATATCAGAAGCACCTTAGTCTCCAGAGAGACACCATTGCTCTTCAGTACTTTGGAGAGGTCCCTAACAGCAGACTTTCCCATCGCAATATGTCTTTTAATTTCCTGGCTGCTGGTGCCAAGAGTGTTGACTGTGGAGCCGAGCAAACTGAAGCTGTGAACAATATCAGTCTCTTCACCATCCATCCTGATGATGCCAGTTGGCCCAGTGGTGAGAATCTTTGTCTTCTTGACATTGAGCCTCAGTCCATACTGAAGGCTGCAGTCCTTGACCCTCTTTAGCAAGTGCTTCAGGTCCTCCGCAGTTTCAGCAAGCAGGGTTGTGTCATCTGCATAATGCAGATAGTTGATAGATCTTCCACCAATCCTGATGCCACATTTCTCCTCATATTCACACCAAATCTGCAGAGTCACATACACCCACTACACATGTTTACTTCACATACATCCCACACCTCTCATGCTCACTTATGCCCCGCAAACATACACACACACACTTACCATACATCATCCACACACAGCACACAAACGTGCCGTACACACAAACAGGCTTATCACACATATACTCACACACGTGCATTCAGGTGTCATGTCATATCACCACACACATACACACACTGTACACACATACATCACACAGACTCACACATATGCACCATACCCACATGTCCATTCACATGGCACATTATACATGTGTGTACTTGACACACTTGCACATTCAGATACTAAATAGACATACATGCACACGTCCCGTGCATGTGTGTATCATGCAGGCATATATACCCTATGCGCAGAAATACCATCTGTGCATATTTTTACATCTGCACACGCATGTATGTGTGCAGAGGTCTCACACATCACACACACTCCGCACACATATTTACATGCTGCGTGTGTACACACATGATGTGTGTTCCACACATGCTCATAACTGCATGCACACACATCCATACGCACATCATGCCTTTCCTACTCCCTGGCCGCTCAAGCCCAGTCTCCTTGGTGACTGTGCCTCCTTGCACTGAGCCAAGCTAGGTGGGGTCACTTTGCGGCTGAGCTCCAGCCCCACGCACCTGCATTGGGGTTTTACCTCAGAGCATCCACCTCCAGCTAAGCCCACCCTTAACCTCCAGACGACACATTGTCCCCAGGCCCACATCCCCTCATGCTGGGCTGATAGACTCAGACTAGTCCATTCAAGCTCTGACCACTCATCCTCTGCCCATCGGCTCCCCCCTGCTCAGCACCATCTGGGAGAGGAGTGGCCCCTCCAAGTGCAGCTGAAGCCCCTGCTCTCCTTTGGGGTCCCCCCTTCTGAGAGAGGTGCATCTCCTCTAGGTGCAGCCAAAGCCCCTTCTCTCCTTTGGGGGTCCCCTCTCTGGGAGAGGTGGGCCCCTCTTGGTGCAGCTGAAGCCCCTGTTCTCCTTGGAGGTCCCCCCTGGGAGAGGTGCAACCCCTCCAGCTGCAGCTGAAACCCCTGCTCCCCTTTGGGATACCCCCTCTGGGAGAGGTGCAGCCCCTTCAGGTGCAGCCTCCAGCTCTTCTTTGGGGATCCTGTCTCGTACACACCCACATCTCACTTGACCCGGCCACTGCTTCCCACACGGGCCCGGCTGCTCCTGAGCCAGGTCGGGCATCCTGCAGGTCTGGGCTCCTGTTCCCTTCCCTGACCTCTCCCACCTGATACACTGAGGGTGCAGCGTCAACATTGGGGTGTCCCACTTGTCTAGTTCGCTCGCCACTGGACCCCCAGAACAAACCTGACTCAGTGTTTGTGGAATGTTGGGTGGGAGCCACGGGGACAACTGAGAAACGTGCCCACCTTGTACAGTGCCCGAGCTTGTACTGGGGCCTCCTGAGCTGGTCTCCCAACCCCTTGCCTCCCCCAACTCTTGGGAACCCTAAAGGGAGATAGACAGAGCTGACCAGACCCCAGGATTCCAGTGTGTGAAGCCACCAGACTCCTCAGATCCACCGCCGCCCCCAGACTCACTTGCTTCCTTGAAATAGTTTGGGGACTTGGCAGGATTAGAAGGGCTGGTCAGCAGTGGCCTGGCCCACGATCCGGGAGTAGGACTTGCACTGGCGTGGTGATGGCTGTGCCCAGCCACCTGCACGGGGGCGGGGGCGTCCCTGGACAGAGCTTTGTGGTGGGGGGTGTAGATGCAGGGAGGGGTGGGGATCGGGACACAGGAGAGAACAGAGGATGATGTGAGAATGACAAGGACCCAAGAGGGGATAGGTGCTGCTGGGGACAGGGGGCACTTTGGTCCCCTATGCCAGGCATGGGCATTCAGGGGTACAGAGAGCACACAGAGGTGTGTGTAAAGGGGAGATGGGCAAACAGGACCAGGAGGTTGAGCAGAAAGTGTGGACTTGAGATGCAGTGCTGGGCTGCCTGGGCGAGGTGTCCCAAGGCTGGGACCTGGGGAAGGAAGCAGCGTGCTGGATCCCAGCACCTCAGGTAGAGGACTAACCAGTGCAAAGGCCCTGGGGCAGTGACGTCCTTGGTGGCCTGTGCTCAGAGGAACAGCCAGTGCGGCCACACAGGGTGGGGGCTGACTGGCGTTTTTGAGAGGCCCCTCCCTCCCCAGTTGGGAGCACACAGTGTAGAAGCCACACCCAGGTGCCACTGGGAGAGTGGCAGCCACGGGAAGCAACTGGGAGCCGTGACCTCCAGTCACCACAATAACACCTGTAGACAGAGTCTCTGTTTCTGCCTCTGTAAAATGGGTACAAAGGAATGAGTCCGTGAGGGTTCGAAGAAAGCCCGTGAATGGGGTCACTGATGGGGAGAGGGCACTGTCTGACCTGAGCCTGTGCTCTTAGGGTTCAGAGAGACTGAGGAGACGTGTAGGGCTGCGGCAGGAGGAGAGAGCTGAGTGGGGGGGGG